ATTTTGATCCTTTAATAACACTTTATTATTTTAGTGTTTTAATTTTATTTTAAAATAATTCATTTTATTCTAATAATAATTTTAAACTGAACCTATCAGGCCTAAACTTGTCATTCATTTTACAATCTTACAGTAAATTCCTTTTTATATCATTAATCAGGTCTCTCTTCCTTACTAATAGTATTAATAGAGAACCTAGGTGCTTGGATAGGTTTCAGATAATGACAAGATGGCCCTAGGAAAGGTCTAGACATGTGCTTCTAACAGAAATACAAATCAATCCACATGTGTAATTTAAAAATTTCTAGTAGCCACATTAAAAAAGGAAAAGGAAATAAGTGAAACTAATTTTAATAATACACAGTAGAAACACCATGAGTTAATCCCAAGGAACTGTAACAAACTGGTCAACATACAGAGGTGGTCAACATAAGGAACTAGGCCTACTGCACTGATATGTACATGTGGTGCATGTCCAGTCTATGAATATTAGGTCAACTAATAGGTTGACCAATGAAAGGAGGTGGTCACCTATGGAGGTTCTAATGTGTTTTTTTAAAACATGTGGAATATTATCCTTTTTAACATGTGATCAACATAAAAATATTAGATCTTTTACATTCTTTTTTATGTAAAATATTCAAAATCCAGTGAGTATTTTATATCTATAGCATGTCTCGATTTAGACCAGCCACATTTCAACTGGTCAAAAGACTATGGTCTTAGACAGAGAAGGTTTGCACTGTAGGACCTTGCATCATGAGACTCTGATCTCAGGATTGTGTGTTTCAGTTTCAGGTTTTGAAACACCAATCCCATCAAGCACCCTGAGGGAAAATAAAATAGCTTCATGGCTAAGTAAATTTAAGAAATATTGCACATTATCTTCTACATGAGGATTGTGATAGCTGCCTTACATATCAAAATTGCTAATAAATTCTGTAATAAACAAGTTTGTTAAACGTTGTTCAACCCAATATCATATAATTTATTTTATTTATGAGACTTTCAGTTAACATTTATTCATGAATGTATCGAAAATTAGGTGGTTATAAGATGTTAGTTTCATTTCCTTGTTTTCTATTTGATTCCAAATGTTTATGTCTGTATTCTTGTCTTGACCACTATGGCTTTGTAGTACAGCCTAAAATCTGATATGCTGATGCCCCCGGCTTTGTTTTTATTACAAAGAACTACCTTAGCTATATGGGGCTTTTTCTGGTTCCTTACAAAATGCAGAATCCCTTTTTCCAAGTCTTGAAAGTACGATGTCAGTATTTTAATAGGGAGGGCATTGAATCGGTAGATTGCTTTGGGAAGTATAGACATTTAAACAATGTTGATTCTTCCCAGCCATGAGCATGATATGTTCTTCAATTTGTTAATATCCTCTGCTATTTCCTTTCTTAGGTTTCATAATTTTCTTTATAGAAGTCCTTCATCTCTTTTCTTAGGTACATTCCTTACGTATTTCATTTTCTTTGAAGCTATGCTGAAGGGAGTTGTATCCTTCATTAGCCTCTCATCTTGGCTGTTATAGGTGTATACAAAGGCTACTGACTTTTGGACATTGATTTTATATCCTGAGACATTACTGTATTTTTTGATGACTTCCAGGAGTCTTGTGGTTGAATCTGTGGGGTTCTCTAAGTATAAGATCATATCATCAGCAAAGAGGGAGAGTCTGACCTCCTCTGCTCCCATTTGTATGCCCTTTATTTCCTTGTCTTGCCTAATTGTATTGGCTAGAACTTCCAGCACTATGTTGAATAGTAACAGTGACAGAGGACAAGAACATACACTGGGGGAAAGACTCCCTATTCAATAAGTAGTGCTGGGAGAACTGTATATCCACATGTAAGACTGAAACTGGACCCACACCTTTCTCCACTCACAAAAATTGATTCAAGATGGCTAAAAGACTTAAATTTAAGGCATGAAACAATAAAAATCCTCAAAGAAAGCATAGGAAAAACAATGGAAGATATTGGCATGGGGAAAGACTTCATGAAGAAGATTGCTGTGGCAATTGCAACAACAAAAAAAAATAAACAAATGGGACTTAATTAAACTGAAAAGCTTCTATACAGCCAAGGAGACAATAGCCAAAGCAAATAGACAACCTACATGATGGGAAAGGATATTTGTATATTTTGAATCAGACAAAAGCTTGATAAGTAGCTTTTTTAGAGAACTCAAATTGATCCACATGAAAAAAGCCAACAATCCCATATATCAATGGGCAAGAGACGTGAATAGAACCTTTGCTAAAGAAGACAGATGAATGGCTAACAAACATAAAAAATGCTCATCATCCCTAATTATTAGAGAAATGCAAATCAAAACCACCCTGAGATGCCTCTAACCCCAGGAGGAATGGCCCACATCACAAAATCTCAAAACTGAAGATGCTGGCATGGATGTAGAGAGAAGGGAACATTTTTACACTGCTGGTGGGACTGCAAACTAATACAACCTTTCTGGAAGGAAGTATGGAGAAATCTCAAAGAACTCAAGCTAGACCTCCCATTTGATCCTGCAATCCCATTACTGGGCATCTACCCAGAAGGAAAAAAAAAAATCCTTTTATCATAAGGACACTTGCACTAGACTATTTATCGCAGCTCAATTTACAGTCACCAAAATGTGGAAACAGCCTAAATGCCCAACAACCCAGGAATAGATTAACAAGTTATTGTATATGTATACCATGGAATACTATTCAGCCATTTAAAAAAAAAATGGAGACTTTACAGCCTTTGTATTAACCTGAATGGAAGTGGAACACATTATTCTTAGTAGAGCATCCCAAGAATGCAGAAGCATGAATCCTATGTACTCAATTTTGATATGAGGACAATTAATGACAATTAATGACACAGTGGGGGTGGGGGAAGGGAAGAACAGAGACAGAGGGAAGGAGGGAAGGGGCTGGGGTCTTGGTGTGTGACACACCTTTTGGGGCCAAGATACAATTGTAAGAGGAACTTTACCTGACAAATGCAATCAGTGTAACCTGGTTTCTTGCACCCTCAATGAATCCCCAACAATAAAAAAAAGTTAAAAAACCCCATTTATTTATGAAGTCCTCATTCTGGAAACTATACTTTCAAAATGCTTTTTTACTGAGGGAGGAGGATTGCTTAAGGTCAAGAGTTTAAGACTAACCAGAGGAAGAGTGAGACATCTTTTCTAAAAAAACCAAAAAAATTAGGTAGGTGTGTTGGTGGGTGACTGTAGTCCCAGCTATTCAGGAGGCTAAGGCAGGAGAATCACTTGAACCCAGGAGTTTGAGGTTGCAATAATCTTTGCTGACACCAGTACATTCTAGCTGGGTTTGGCAGTTTTAGGTCTATATTTTAGACTGCTAAACCCATTCTAGCTGGTGGCTTGGTAAATGTTTTAGAGACACAGCTGCTTGAGGCAAGATAGAGTGATACTCTATCTTAAAAAAAAAAAAGAAGAAGAAGAAGGAAAAGAAAAGAAAAGAAATATGCTATCACAGACTAGAATATTTTATTATCTGGAATTTGGAGGGAAGTAATTTGTTCCACATTTGAAGATTTTCATGATAACTAAAAATTTCAAGATAAGTCAGTGAAAATAGCAGAATAAAGACTTTCAAAATTTCCCCCCTCCATCAAAGCAATGAAAAAACTGTAAAAAGAATAGTCAGAATCAACTTTATTAGAACCCTGATTTGCAGCGACCCTTGGAGAGAGAGGAAGTGAGAGAGAGAGAGAGAGAGAGAAGAAAGAGAAAAAGGAAGGAAGAGAAGAGAAGAGAAGAGAAGAGAAGAGAGGAAGAAGAAAGAAGAGAAGGAAGGAGGAGGAGAAAGAAATAGGAGGCAGAGGAGGAGGAGGTGAAGGGAGAGAAGGAAGAGAAGGAGAAGAAAGAGAAGGAGGGGGAGAAGAATTGAATTTTGGTAAGAACAGTGAGCGTTGTAGTTAGTGTTTTAACTTACCCTAGTCCCTTCTGCCTCCTCAGTTTAGTGGTCACCTCAAAAATAAAATCTCACATTTTTGTTATTGGAGGGAGCAGAAAAGACTTCATACTCAAAGAATTGTCATTATTAGATTATCTGGTCATTCCCTGGAAAACTAGGTGCAAAAGGCTTGTCTTTCTTTGACCTGACTCAAAATTAGTAGTGCTGAAATCTTCTCCCCAGGGCAGTTTGGCAAATGTTCTAGGGACACAGCTTCTTGAGGCAATGAAAAACAGCTGGGACAAACAAAAAGCTCCAAAGGAAAAGCTGAGGAATTAGAGGTCTTTTAGGGAATTTTAAAAGCTCCAATATACTCCTAGAAAAATGCAAGGCCATCTGCATATGTAGGATTGTGTGCATGCACAACAAATGTCTGAGGAAACCTTGAGCACTCATGGATGGTTGATCTTGAGGCTTTTTGTACACACAGAAAACAAAGTTAAGACAAGAGGTAAAAAGTGCCTGGCTAAATGTACACTGAAGGCATACCCAAATACACACACAGAACTCCTCAATAAATATTAGGGTGTTATTTTATTAGGCTTTATTTTAAAGGTTCCACACATTTTAGGCACATTCTGTTCAATCATTAACTAACAATTAAGCTAACTGAGACCTCAATGGCCAATCATACAAAGAATGCAGACTATAAAGAATTATCTTAGAGAAGTTATTGGATAAGGACACCAACAAACATTAAAAATAGCAACAATAAAAACTCTTGGGAGGTACAAGAATCTGATTTCCATGGTTGCAACATCATATGTTTTAAAAATATTTTAAAATATATTTTAAAAATATTTTTTAACAAAAAATTGTAAGACATGTAAAAAACTAAGAAAGTATGACCCATATATACATAGGGAGAAAAAAGTCAATAAAATTATCCTAGAGTAATCTCACACATTGCATTTATTAGACAAAGACTTTAAATCAGCTATTTTAAATACATTAAAAGACTTAAAGAAAACCAGGCCTGACAATTAAAAGAAAATCTTTTAATAATGTGTTACTAGTGCTCGATTTGGCAGCATATATACTAAAATTGGAATGATACAGAGATTAGCATGGCCCCTGTGCAAGGATGACATGTCTGTCTGTTTTGTTGGAATATGAGGATGTTTTTATTTCTGGGTTCTGTTCTGATCCATAGGTCTATGTTTCTGTTTTTGTGCCAGTACCATGTTGTTTTGGTTACTAGATTCCTAAAGCACAGCTTGAAATCGGATAAAGTGATGCCTCCATATTTCTTCTTATTATGCATTTGCCTATTCAGGGTCTTTTCTGATTCTGTATGAAGTATAGAACTATCTTTTCTAGATCTGTTAAAAATGATGTTGGTTTAATGGGAATTGCATGGAATCCATACATCAGTTCATGTACAGACATTTTAACAATGTTGATTCTGTAATCCATGAGCATAAGACATTTTTCCATCTGTTTACATCTTCTGCAATTTCTTTTCTTAGTGTTTCATAATTCTCCCTATAGAGGTCTTTCACCTCCTTAGTTAAACAGATTTGTAGGTATTTTATTTTTGTTGTTGCTACTGTGAAAGGTATTGTGTCTTTGATTTGATTCTTAGCTTGACTGTTTTTGGTGTATATGAAAGCTACTGATGTGTTTACACTGATTTTGTAACCTGAGAATTTTCTGAATTTATTTACCAGATTCAAGGAGTCTCTTGGTTGAATCTTTGGTGTTTTCTAGATATAAAATCATATTTTCTGCAAAGAGCACTAGTTTGACCTTTTCCTTCCCCATTTGGATACCCTGGATTTCTTTCTCTTGTCTGATTTCTCTGCCTAGAGCTTCCTACTGTGTTGAATAGAAGTGGAGATAGTGGTCAACTTTGTGGGGTTCCAGTTCTAAGCAGGAATGTTTTCAGTTTTCCATATTCAATATGATGTGAATAGATTGTTTCAGACATTAATTGTAATTTCCAGAGCAACCACTTAGAAAATAACTAAAAAAAAAAAAAAAAAAGTCAAAGAGATTACAAGGGATTAAAATGATAGGCTAGAAACTATTTAGCACAAAAGAAGGCAGTAATGAAAGAATAGAAGAATAAAAATTGCTTGGTATAGGAAACAAATAGCAAAATGGCAGACAGAAACCCTATCTTATCAGTGATGAACTTAAATCTAAATGGATTCAATTAAAAGTCGGACATTGGCAGAATGGATAAAAAAATCTAACTATGTGCTGTCCTTAAGAGACTCACTTTAGGTTCAAAGACATAAGTAGGTTGAAAATAAAAGGATGAAGAAACACAAAGCATGCTAATTCAAACGGAAACAGCAGGGGTAGCTGTAATTAGTAATTAGTAGCTATAATTAGTAACTAGTAGCTAGTAATATAGACAAAATAGTCTTTAAGACAAAATTTTTTATTAAAAACAGAAAGACATTTTATAATGACATAGGGTCAGTCTGTCAAGAAGATTCAGGATTTAAAAACATATTCGATATCTAATAACAGAGACCCAAAATATATGAAGCACAATTTGACAAAATTCATGAGAGAAATAGATAATTCAACAAAATTAATTGGAAACTTCAATACCTCACTTTGAATTATGGATAGAAGAGCTAGAGAAAAGATCAGTAAGGTAATAGAAGACTTGAAAAACCCATTGATCAACTAGACTAGCAGAATATTTATGTAGCAAGATAACATTCCATCCAACAACAGCAGAATATATATTATTCTCAAATAAATATGGAACATTTTCCAGAAAAGACCATATGTAAGGTCATAAAACAAGTCTCAACCAATAAAAAGAATCGAATCAAAGCATGTTTTCTGACCACAATGGATCAAAATTGATAACAGAAGAAAATAAAGGAAATTCACAAATATGTGGAAATTAAACAACACATTCCTAAATAACCAACAAGTCAAAGAGGAAATCACAATGTAAGTCATAAAATGTTTTGGGATTAATTAAAACAAAAATACAGTATATCAAAACTTACAGTATGCATTGAAAGCAGTCCTCAGAGACAATTTATATCTGTAGATACCTACATTAAAAAAAGAAACACTCAAATGCAGAAAAAAAAGTGCAAACTAAATCTTACCACTAGCAGAGGGAGGAGATAATAAATATTAGGAAATATTAGAATGGAAGTATATGAAATAGAGACACAATTTAAAAAATCAATAAAACTAAAAGTTTGTTATCTGAAAAGATTAATACAGTATTTAATCTAGACTAATCAAGAGAAAATAGAGAAGCCTCAATAAAATCAAGAGAGAGAGCGAGGAGAGCGAGGAGAGAGAAACACACACATGAATGAGCAAATTCTCCTGGTATCTCTTCTTATAAAGGTGCTAATCCTATCATGAGGTTTCCTACCCTCATGACCTCATCTAAATCTAAGTACCTCTTAAAGGCCCCACCTCCAAATACCATCACTCGGCATAAGAATTTTGGGACAATAGAATTCAGCCCATAGCAGAGTAACTTTTAAAATTTTGTCTGTAATGTCCCTACTGAGCCACCTTATATTATGGCTTCCATTGAGATCTTCACCCCTTAATAGTCAAACATATCTACTTCTTTCTTATTCTATACTTGAGTTCCAAGGAAATCAGGGGATGTGACCAAAATACTTGTTTTAAGTATCTCTATTTTATCACAGTTACTCTTTGTGGCAGCCAGATCCTAGCTCTGGGTATTCACACTCTTTGTAGCCCCTTTCAACACTGTATTAGGATTGATCTATGAGACCAATAGAATACAGCAGAAGTGAAGGCATCTCACTTCTCAGATTAGGTGATAAAGGCTTCCATCTTGGGCAGCTTGATCTCTCCACCATGTTCTCCCACCCCAGGAGAAGCCAGTTGTCATATCATTAGGACATTCAGGAAGTCTATAAAGAGACCCACATGGTAAACAAACAAATGATATGGCAAACAGCCAGAGAGGAGATGAGGCTAGTCTGCCAACAACCCTGTGAGGGATCTTGGAAGCAAACTTCCCCGAGTTGGGCCTTAAGATGAGACTGCAGCCATCGTAGTGACTTGGCTATTACCTCATGATCACCTTGAGCCAGGACCACCCAGCTAAGTTGCCCCTGGCTAGTTGACCCAGGGAAGCTGAGATAAAAGGGGGTCACTCTTCTAAGCTGTTAAATTTTGGGGTAATTTGTAATGTGTTACAAATGGAGAAGGGTTCAGGATAAATATTATTACTTAACTGAATAGGAGACTGATGACCTCTTGATAGTTTCTGCTAGAGCCCATATATCAAATCTGGTCCCTTTTATGGATATATATTTTAACAAATATATTGTTGAGTGCTGAGTGGTACTTTGTAGAAAAAAAAGGATCATGACCTTTATTTTTGTTAATAATATCTAATTCCTAAATCTTTTCCAAATGGTTGAAGCTCCTGTATACATGGTATGTAATATTAAGAGATTAATTCTACTCCTTTACATCCTCTTAAAATCTAACACATTTTCTTCACCACTAGGTCATTGGTGGGTAAACGTTCATTGCTTAAAGCGTCTTTTTGCCCAAAGCCACCTGAAATTGTTTCTTGAAGATAAAAATAATGAACACAGAAGAGGTCTCAGTTTGGAATGTGTGCTGTGTGAATAGCCACATGTGCTTTGTTAGTTGTTTTTTTTTTTAATTTTCTTCATCGTCGTCGTCTTTTTTTTTTTTTTTTAAGTCTTCCTCTGTCACCCGAAGCAGAATGTATCAGAGACATAATAGCCCACTGCCACCTCAAACTCCTGGGCTCAAGCAGTCTTCCTGCCTTAGCCTCCCCATTAGCCAGGAGTAGAGACGTGTGCCATGATGCCTGGCTAATTTTTCTGTTTTTCATAGAGACAGGGTCTCACTCTTACTCAGGGTGATCCATCTTTGGTTACTGTTAGAAGATTCGCAATTATTCTATCATATTCATTATTTTATCTCATGAAAATTGAGATTTTGTATTTGTAAAATGATAATAGTTTAAAATAACTGAACTTACAGAGAATCAATTTATAACTGATTATACAAAGTTGATGGCCTCCTGGCTTCTATTTATTATTACTATTACTATTTTTATTTGAAATGAAATAGGAGGGCCTGGTGATGGCTGTTGTTGACTGGAAGCAATTTTGTTTTCCTGGAAACATCAAATGATGTTCTTGTACCTATTTGTTCTTATTAATATATATCTTTTCAAAATAGCAAATAAACAAGGTCTGCTTTGTGGCTAAGTCTTCATTCCCTGGAAGCATAAAGTTGAATATTCCTGGAATAGATTCATCTGTGCAGTGCCTACCACTTAATTTAATGAGCATATTTTATATATAATAAGTTTAGAATAATTGTGATGAGTTGTTTTTAGTAAGGAATGGAAAGTCATATCTGAGACAAGTTCTTCCCTGATGGTTCTTATCATGTAATTTGAGAAAAAAATAAAAAACACACAAGCAAAAGCTAAATGGTATACATACATTGTGAATAATGAAGAGATTGCTGTAGGTTTAAAAGTAGGCTTGGTTTCCTGGAAAAGAGTTTAACCTCAGATAGTCCTTGAAGGGCTAGTAAGATTAAGATGGGCAGAGAAAAGGAAAAGGAACTCTAGGAGACGCAAATTGTCTCACATTGTGATATATTTTTTTAATAGTTTACATGTGCTGATAGCTTCCCTATATTTGAGGCTATCATCACAGTCCTTTGAGGTGTTTAGGCATGCTTATTCTTACCCACCAAATATAACATTTTAAGTTAGAAAAATACTTCAGAACTTTCCAAATTAGTTAATGGTGGGATACTGGTTGGCAAACCATAGCCAGCTGCCTGTTTTTCTATAACTTTAAGTGGTTATATGTATTTGAAACAGTTGCATGAGAACTTATATAATTATCTTTGATTTTGCCTCTTGGCCTATGACTAAATAAAAATTAATCATAAATTAATTTTTTGCAAAGCCTAAAATATTTACTACCTGGCTCTGTAAGAAGTATGCTGATCATTTCAATATCAATTTCAATATCAAGTTATTCATGATATTTCAAATAACACATTTTTAATTTGTTGTAAGATATGGTACTCTTACAATATACTTAACTGTGGATCACCCTGTAAATACAATTTTGTATTGTCTCCTTTACATCT